AGAGGGTGGTTTCCAACAATGGGTGGTGGCTTGCTCACTAGCAGCCCGCCAGTGTCTTGTTGCGGTGGGTGCAGCTGCATTGCAGTGACTATTTCTCCGAGCCCAGTTGCCCATGTTGCTTTTTCTTATGAATGGCTTGCATACGCCATCCGTCAATGACGACCAATGAGGGAGCGCTCCGAGCGCGCTGAGTCTCGTTTTACCCCCTGGTGACTATTTTTTTGATTAACTCGTACACAGCATGGCGCATTATTTACCCGTACTGTGTAAATGTGTCTTGCCCAAAGTGTGCAGATCGATGTGCGCCTTGGCCAGACACCAGATGAATATGAGGAGCGCGCAGGGCAATCCCAGGCCGTTCAAAGCATCAGGGCACAAACTTTGACTAACAGCTCAGGCTCGTCTCTAATAATAGTTTCGTTGTGTACTCCGTACTCCGCAACAAATGGTTATCTTAGCTAGCTTACAAGCTAACAGTGTCCCTATTGCATTCACGGCCAGATGCTTGGGACCAATGCCCTTTTCATTCTCATCCAGATAACGCCCTTCATGTGAGCCAAAAGAAGCAACAAAGGCACAAAAGCAATGCTAATGATATATCACTCTGACACGTTGACTTTGGCACATTCATTAGAGTTCAAAGCCAATAGCGGCACGAGGCAGCTATTAGCACGCCTAGCCCACTGGCATCGTGCCAGTGGTTACACCACCCTCAAAGAGGGCAAGACTCGTCACTTTTCAGGATGGAGCTTGGAACGGAAATCACTCATCGCAAAGACCACACATGTCTCGACGACATATACGTAAATGAGTGGGTGTTCAAACACATAGGCGTTTGCCAGTACGGAATATCTTGCCCTGGCTGAGAGAACAAGAGAGTTAAAAAGCACAGGCCATCATATTCCGACACCAAATCTCGTAGGGCCGCCACCCAATCTGCTGGTACAGACCTGGCGAGGGGAGAGGGCCGTCTTGCCATCAATCCGTTCGTTGACGACACGATTTGATTGATAGTTTCATTGCTTTTTCCAGACTGTTTCTCCGCTTCAAGGCCTAATAATACACCCACCCGCACCGCCTTTCTGGTTCTTGGGAATTCGAGGGCCTCCACAAAGGTCGCAGCTGGGCTGGGCCGCATCTGCTAGAGACCCAGGACCCAGGACCCAGGGGGGCGGGCCGCTAGGGCGACAAAGCGACAAGAGACAACAACGCTCGAGGAGATCCTAATGAGAAGGTTTACAGATATTTGAGAAACAGGAGGGGGAAAGGGTACTTTGGAGATTCGAGCGGCTCACAGTCCAGGCGATCCTCTAGCAGTGATCGGAGAGTGGCTCGTGGGCCTCAATTTCCCCGATGCATCGTGAGAATCGATGCATGGGGTGTGAGGAAAACGTGTACCCCTGGCGATGCGCCGTGAATCGTTCCAAAAACAACATACTTGAAAAAAACGTCATCCAAAGCCGGACCAGCATGCAGGAGATTTGCCAGCCGGATGTGTGCCAGGCAGATCTACCCAGACTCGGTAACTGCTTGCGATGTATCCGTAGTACAGCGGGCTTTCCAGTTAGCTGCATGCAAGGAAATGTCACTGTTTGCATGTGGCTGGATGGTGGCGTTGTCGTGGATCGATTGCTGTTGGCTTACTCGGTACTGATCATTACTACATTGAACTTTCTTTTGCTGCATTATCAGATGCCGACGGGATTAGGTTGTCCCAGCTGAGGGGGACTCGTCATGTGCAATGTGTGAATGTGATAGAATCAAGGGTCCAGCATGTTTCTTTGGAGCTTCTGTCTCAGTTTCATGTCGCACAAACGGGGCCCAGTTCAAGAATCTATACGGAGTATACAAGGCATGTCTGAATAGACTTGAGAATAGTTTATTAGAATGTCATTCTTGTCTGACACATAATCAACTGGTGAGAATCTGAGAGTCACGCTGTTGCAACTGCACTTGGGATATAACCGGATTACGGTAAATGAGACGTGAACACAAGTTTGTTTGCCTGTTGCAAAGTCAGGGATGACGAGTTTACACAGTGGCAGGTTGTCGGCAGACTGCATTTCTTGGTTCCTGGAACTAGGGTCACGCTGTATGTACAGGTCATTTTGCTCCGTGAACCCGACGGGTCTAGGCAGACATCAAGGGATAACGGAGCTTGCATGTGCTCGGCCGATGCAATCGTTCCGAGCAATCGTCGACACGGAGCCAGGAGTCACAAGGCAAGGCGGTCAAAAATACCGACAACTCGAGCTTCCGAGGCTTCATCCCGCAGACTTGTTGCACCACCGGAGTTCCGCTTGCCCGACCACAGACCATCTATGATATCAACATGACTCTGGTGTAACATTGAGATCCGTCTCCAAAGCCCTGGTTCCTTGAAAGAATTGCACTGCCCTAGTGCAATAATTCTACCAATCAATGACTGTTTTACGGAGCACACCTCCGCCGAGTTGGACAATGCTTGCACGCATGGACCGATGCACCACGCCCGGCTATAAATTAGCGCAAATACGCTAAGTAGTTAATGTATGGCAAGTTGGGGACAAAATGACAAGATACGCGGGTGTATCTTGTTCATCAAGTGCTCCGTTGACCCAGTCTTCTTGCTCAATCAACGACAGTTTGATGTGGAGGCAACGGTTCGAGCTAGCACCAACAGTCGGTAGTTAGTTTACCGCTAAATATATCATAATAAAGCTTGAGAGAGAGAGAGACGGATAGGGCCGAGCCTTTTCGCAACGTCAATGAGGGCGAAGAAGAGAAGTAGGCGGTCCCAGGTCAACAATGTTGGCCTCTTTCTATGCTGCAAAGTATGTACTTGATGTACTTGACAGACACGAAACTTGATAAGCGGCTGCAAACATGCAAGCACGCTTTTCGCTTCATCTTGCCGCTCTCCACCTCGGATAAGAGAGGCATAAATTGAAAATGCTGCAGCGCCTTCCCTCTTCTCTCGGCCACGCTAATGCGGGCGCGCATGATGTACATGCCACTAGATATAGGCTGGACGCACGTACGGCGGAGCGGAGGGCAAGAAATCGCTACACTGCGTCAGTTTTACTGCTGCTTGAACAATCGTACCCAAGTCTTTGAACAATATCAGAGAGCCTCTTGTACATTTGTTGAATCACTGCGGGCGTTGCTAGTCATCACCACCGGAAACTGGAATCAAGGCACAAGTCTGCGCCCGCCTTTCGTGATGCTGTGATGCCGTCAGAGGGAGTGGAGGTATAATACCTACTAAGTTAGCCTCCACTGCTGAATAGCCTGTTTGTTCATTACGCCCAGGAACGCACATCATCAATCAACTGAGGGACAAAGGCCCTCGGAACAGTAAACTCATCGTTATCCGGCGACTTGCATCAACTCCACACACTCAGGCTATTACCGTGTGATCCCCCCCCCCCACAAAAGTTGATGCCAGGCCGCAGGACCAACAGACCATGTGACTCGACGGAAAGGTCTGTTGCGTTGGGAAAGCGAAGCGGCAGAGACAGAGGTCTCATCTGTCGTTGGTCAGCGTGGCATTGGCGAACATATCTACGGCGCCAAGCCAAAATCGTTCGAGATATGTCACCAGCAGACTGTCTCCAACTGTGCTCGAGACATCAAGAAACAACAGCCTCTCGCTGCGACGACGAGCCCTGCAAGTGAAAACGCACCCTGTCAGTCTATTTCGCTAGCAGACGAAGTGCAGAAACATGCATCAAGAATGCCCCTCTCATCTTGCGTGGCCCTTGTCTTTTCTTCTTGTGCACAGGCCAAACGTCGAGGAACTGGTCAGAGTCTTGTTCCGCCTTCTCGAGACTCGGACGACGGGCGGGCGCACAACTGTCTCACGCAACAAGCTGCTTTCAAACGCCTCAGGAACTCCTCCGAGAGTTGTGCGTACAAGGATGCCCATTGCATAATAAGTCAGGCAGCAACATTCACTGAGGGGTTTTTTTTTCTTGTTGGTGGTGGTGGTGGTGGCCTAAATGTCGTGATGATCTGCGCTCACGCCGTTGCATCTTGCTTGGCGTCTTTTTCTCCCTCATCATTCGATGCACTCTACTGGTCAGCCATTTTTGGGCGCACAAGAACATATACCGATATCGAGAATGCGTCGAGGGGGGTGGCAGACTGTGGAGTGTAGCCCTGCCGATAGCTCCTACATGAGTTGATGACCTACTTATTGCCCACTCGAGGAGTACCCCATAAGCCAAGAGGCGCCCACTTGCAGAGTGGTTCCTGCAGGGCATGGGTAGTGGCTGCGGATGGACGATTGTCTTCCGTTCTGATTAATTACTTTGGTGAAGTTGTGATGAGATATACAAACGGTTGCTGGTCTGGCATCGTCGGTAGAGCGGCACTGTATGACAATCGGGCGTTTCCCGTTTGGTTTTCTTTGCAAGGGTCTTCTTGCTCGTCACAAACAGAGAGACCTTTCAGAAACACGTGAATTGTTCCCAACGCAGCTCATAGCAGCCACTTGTCTCGGACCAGTTCTCGAACCCGCCACGCCTTGCTTGTGTTACGTGACAGCTCAACTCGATCATCGAACGACGAAGATCTTTTGGGGGATGTGAGCTTATGAAAACCTGGGGGTTTTCCAGTTGGTGGCGGATGCATTTCATGGGAAGAAATGCCATGGTCAGTGTTGGGCGTGGCGACTGGCGACAAATTTGCTCCTTTTCCGCGACAACCTAGTTCCCAGCAATTCGGAAATCGCATCCAAGCTCTGAGTCGCGCGGTGGAGGCGCAGCGAAAAGGTAATTGAGGAGCGGATACTCCGTACAATATTATTCATTAATACGGGAACAATAGGACCAGCATTGGTACGTTGGTCCTGTGTTATTTAGGGCAAGGCTCCGATCCGAAGCAATTTACGACAACTTCTATTTATTTGCCATGTACTAACTACTCGGGCGTTTACATGGATTATGATATATCCGTCCGCCCCAAATATACATTCCACTTCGGCCCAATTTCTGCCACTTACCTTTACCCCACCCCTTTTACAGCTTCTCTTTGCGCCCTGCGTCGTCGGCATCGCCGACGACCACCATGCCATTTGGAAGTACCTTTTCCGATTTCCGTACATGGGCCAAGACGAACGGATATGCAACATCGCAAGCAAACCAGGGAGTCATGATGATGTAGGAAAGAGGATGGAAAATGAAGCCGTGAGGCTCGGGCCAATACCACCAGAGCAGACAACAAGTCACTAGCAAACCCATTACCGAGCCAGCAAAGCGGCAGAACCTGGTAAAACTTGTGTTATTTCTTCAGTTTGATTGAGTACGTTTCAGATGGCGAGTGCGCAGCCCTGTCGTCGTACCCTGTCGTCGTACCGGTGCTCAGTGCTAGCCTTTGGGCAACGACGCCGAAAATTGAGATCCTTCGGCGCACAGTGCGAAAGATTCTTTCATCGATACACGCCCTGCTTGAAGCAAGTAGCTTCGTGCATATGTAACAACTGGCAGCCAAGAGAGGCTGAGAGGAGACGGGGTGGAATAGCAACTTACCAAATTCCGTAGCTCTGTCCGCCAGAATGTCCTCGGCTCAGCAGCATCGCCAACCACGAGACGCTCAGCACAAGCTGCGACAGGCCGGCTGACCACCACGCCAGCTCCGTGGTGTCTCTGGCCTCGAGGTTGAACCACAGCTTGCCCTCCTTACTCCCGTGGCCTCTGTGCGGCTCAGCCAGCCACCAGCGCGCGAATAGCAGATGCGCGGCCGCGCAGCCCACGGTCACGATGCTGAGCAGCATGCCAATGTTGCGCGCCACCAGCGGCGAGGCGGCAAACGAGTGCTTGGCCTGCGTGACGGTCGCGTAGAGCACCGGCAGGTCAAACAGCAGCCATAGGATGAAGCCGGCCACCGCGACGGGCATGTCGGCCACGTACAAGCCGTAGACCAACTCCCACGCGAGATTCATGGCCAGCGCCACCAGCGGAATGGGAGTTGCGTGCGTCTGCAGCGCTCGGCGCGCCATGAGGATGTAACACACAGTCCAGAGGCAGACGCCGGCGCCGAGGCAGAGCGTCGATACAGGGACGAGCCATTGCGGCGCCGAAGCGGGGGGCTTGTATGCTGGTCCCATCTTGTATACGTATATGATCGGTCGGCAAGCCAGACGATGCTTCTTGCGTTTGTCGGTATTTTTTTTTGCTTAAAGATTGAGCGTGTGTGTGTGTGTGTGTGTTTGTTGCCGGTAAAAGACAGAGTCTCCTGGAAATGACGCTGTTACTTCTGCGGAGAGCGAGACTGCAACCGACTTCTATCCTCAGCCAAAGGAAACTGCGCGGTAAGTCAATATTGGATTGATCGATAACAACATGCTTCTATAGCTGCACGATTACTCGTGCTCCTGACATGGGCTTCGACCCATGCATGCAGTGAAATGGCTGCACGAAAGTCTTGCTGTCCATTTGAACTGTGTTGCGGTGCAAGACTTGTCAGTTTAAAAAAAAAAAAATCCACGAGTCATGATTGGACTATTCTCTTTCTCGGAGTTCTCAGTCCAGCGCCACGATATGCGTCGCTGCTCAGCAAACGCGCATCTAATTCGCCGCTATCCTAGGCCCTTTCTTTTCCAGTTCAGCCACAAGAATGTATATTCGAATGTTGAGAGTATGAGCATTTATCATTAAATCAACAAAATGCGCCATCATAATTTGAGACAATTTTATGTGGTAATTATAGCCTTTGAAAGAAAGCATAGCATATCGGCTGTATTTTGCTACCCACTTCCAGTTGACGTCGGGCAGCAAACACCAAACACCAAACACCAATCTGGCTAGCCCCAGCAACTACCGACGACCGTCCCCGATTCTATCATCAACATCAAACATCAAGCACCCGAGCCAAAGATGGCTACCGAGCCGTCTTTTGACGACTCTAGATACAGTCGGGAATATCACCTCCCGGGCGGGACGATCCAAGGTCGGTCCGAGCCGTTAAAGGTTACCTACGCCGACTTTGGCTATCGCAATGTGGAGAACCCGGACGAGGAGAATGTCTTTCTCTTCTTCCCTCCACTATTAGGCAGCCGCTGGATGCACGTAGCCAAAGACAACCTGGCCAAGAAGCACAGAGTACGCATCATCAACGTTGAGCGGCCAGGCTACGGTGGCACCGATGAAGTTGAGCTGAAGGAGAGGCTCCGGGTGTGGCAAGGTACATTTGATGGAAATGCGCACCCCCCCCCCCAACGCAGTGGCTCCCCGCTAACATGTGCATACTTGTAGTTGTCATTCCGGCGCTCTTGACACATTTAAACATTAAACACGTGTCAGTCGGCTGTCACAGCGCAGGCACCGTCTACGCGCTAGACTTTACCCTGCACCATCCCGAGTTCCTGCACCCCGAGCGCCCCTACCTCGCCATCGCGGGGCCGTGGATCCTGCCGACGCAGTCGGGCGTCATCTCGATGCGCATCGCCCAGAGCCTGCCCGCCGCCGTGATTGGCCGCTCCGAGAATCTGGCGCGATTTATGAGGACGGCCGTCAACCCGGCCCTCGGCGCCGGCGCGTCGGCCGTGTCCAGCCTCTTTGGCGTCGTCGCCCGCAGCATCGGCGTGGCGACGGCGGCGGCGGCGGACCCGCAACCAGCCAGCCAGCCGGAGACGGACGGCGAGATGGAGATGCGGCTGCGGCCGACCCTGCTCTCTAGGGCGTACGGCGAGAACTTGCAGGGCTTGGGTGCCGATGCGGTGCTCATGATGCACAAGGTGGTAGGCGCGGACGGCGGCGATGGCGACGGCGACGGCGACGGCGACGGCATCGCGGGCTGGAGTAACTGGGGCGACTACGAGGCCTACGTGCCGCGGCTGGTTCAGGCCTTGCGCGCGTCGGGCCGAAAGCTGACCGTGGACGCGTTCCATGCGGAGACGGACTCGATGGTGGGCGACTACGGCGACCAGGGTCCGACGTGGTTTGATGCGTGCTGGGCGGCGGACCGGTGTGGCGACGGCACGATAGTGTACAGCGCGAGTTGTGTGGATGATGCCGATCACGACTTGGTGTGGAGTATCAAGTTTGGGGTCCCAGAGAAGGTCTTTTCGAAAATCGGTGCTGGGGAGAAGAAGGATGATACTCATCAGGACACTCTACTCGACGACCAGAAGGCTGTCGATGAAGCCGTCGAGAAGGCAGTTGAGCACCCAGACGAGAAGACTGAGTCTCATCAAAAGAACCTAGTTGACGACGAGAAGACTGTCCAAGAAACGGTCAAAGAGGCTGTTGAGCACGCAGACGGGAAGGCTGAGCCTCATCAAAAGAGTCCAGTTGACGACGAGAAAACTGTCCAAGAAACGGTCAACGAGGCTGTTGAGCACGCAGACGGGAAGGCTGAGCCTCATCAAAAGAGTCCAGTCGACGACGAGAAGACTGTCGAGGAAGTCGTTAAAGAGGCTGTTGAGCACACAGACGGGAGGGCTGCCGAGGGACTCTTGGAGTAATAGTCTGCTTCTGTCGTCAGCTACGCAGTGCGTAGAGCGTCCAAGTGTGCGTTATACCGAGATAATAAACAGAATAGAATCATGAGCGATGTGTACAAATATAGAAACGTCTTTATTAGTACACTTAAAGCCGAAATTGTTGGCGTCGCAGCTCGTACGAGTGATGATGCTATTAGACTTAATTTCTGCCAAGCCGGTTTACACCATTTGGAATATCGTCGCGCCCGGGGCATTATAATGTTGGGAAAGTTGATCGTGCTATACTCATGTGGTCTTTTTGATTTATTTCCTCGCTATTCTGGTAGTGTTCTTTGAGATGCAGCGGTTCACTCTGCGACGTCGCGGAGGGTGACGCCGGCCTGCTACACACCGTGTACACTTGTTGGTGCCTTGTTTGGGTGGGAACAGAAGTAGACATGCACTTTCGGACAATATCTACCGTGCTGGTGGGAACAGGCACTTGTTGAGAGAGCAGTCGAGTGAATAAGCTCAAGGCGCGGATTTGGCCAGATCGAACCTGATATTTATGGCATACAAAAGGGGACCAGCGTGTTCAAACATTCGAGATTGATGAAAATGCAAGGAAGACACATTTGCCATTACATAAGTGACAAGTGCCATGTGCCAGGTTTGCGCGTGCCTTGGCATTGAGGAGTGAAGGGTGACGGTCGTGGGCATTCGCTCGGTGTGTAAGTCGGCCGAGGGTCCTCGAGAGGCAATACTAAGAGCGAGGCAGATATATGCTTCTGTGTTGCTAACCAAAGTGGTCTCAGCGGTGGCTGTTCAATGGCATAGCTCTGAGCTATTTTGATTAAGTTCAGCGGGGTTTATTGGTGTCAGCTGAGTCCTTGATTGTCTCTCGTCAAAGCACTGGGGCCAGTAGATTCGATAATTGTGACAGTCATCATCATATCTTAGATAGGCTGTCGGGACTAATATTATTGCGCGCAAAAAAAAACAACTCGGCATGTGAATTCGCCCAGTTCACACTACCGGCAACGTACGGAGGAGATGCAAGTCTCTTCGAGAAACAGTTCACGAGATATAGAGGGACGGTAGGGCTGTGCCAAGTGCGATGGAATTTAGCAATCATCATCCGCAGCAGCTGACATTTGGGTTGTAGTTTGAGAGGCGCCTGTAAGCTGGCCCGAGGTGCTCTGCAGCCTGCCGATGTGTGCGGGCAGCCTCGGGATGGTGACCATGACGCTACAGAAGGTAGTACGTGCCGCGATCGCGCGCTCAGCCAGTGCTTTGTGCGTCGAGGATAAATTAAACTTGTTGCACAGAGAAAGCTGCCGTGTCAGCGAGAGTGGCTTCTCCAGAAAATCCGGGGGAACTAATTATGGCAGTTGGGGCAGCTAGAGTGAGACTGGCATGGGAACGGGTCTCTTGGGCTAGGCTCGGAATAGTTGATGAATGTGCAGAGTAGTAATCGTGCATGATGGTGGTGATGTTTTGATGGAGGATGAGGAGGAGAGGAGGGGTGGAAACACCGGGTCGGGTTGGGGTAACAAAGGGAGCAAAGTGGCGTTTTGCCTGCCGAAAGCTGCCCATCCGATAAGATTTGACAGAGGAGGGTGAAAGTTAGGTAGGCATGTAGTTATGGGTGCTGGTGCCAGAGCTTGTTCGATAGTTTGGGTGGTCATGCGGCTAGCCAGCCTTTGATGCGCGATTTGATGCAAAGCCTGCATCACCATTATGATGATATTATTACACTGTAACGTGGCATGGCAAGCTTTATCGAGAAAGCCTCTTTCCGAGTTGTCAGTTGTTGATTCGCAGATGTTGCGTGATTCTATCTGTACCGCGCGCCGAGAATGTCTCACGGGCGGGGGGTTACCTTGAAAGAGACTGGGATGAACTGGCCGGCCACCTGCTGATTTCTTCCTTTTTTTTTTGCCCTTCTTTTTTTTCGGCTTTCAAATGCTCAGCCTCGAGCGTCGATGGGACCCACAGATTCCCGAACAGCGGTAATAGCGGAGCCAGCCATCAACAGGAGAGCACTTGTCGCAATTCGGTAACTGGTCCATACCAGAAAGACCATTTCTCTCATCGCTGCCCGCCATCATGAGTCATCTCAAAGATGGAGGACAGCTCACGTAAAAAACGTAGCTACTTTACCGCCCTCGCCCAGCCCCCAGACAGCGCGAGCTGCACCTGAGTTCGGGGGAGGTTCGGGCCCAAGAGCGGGTACCGGCAGCAGCTTCCAGCGTCCCTAGGCCCTTGTAGCTCTGGGGGGAACCCGCCTTTCACCCGACAGCTGACCACTCACAGGCGCCAAAGTAAAATGCAAGCACCAAATTGTCAGCCAGTGTCCCGCAACGCTAAAACAAAGAGGAGAAAAAAATAAAAGAAATAAAAAATCCTTTCGCCCAAGTCTCCCCCCAAAAAAAGAGCCGGCCGCCGCGAATTCCAGGCACAACCACCGCCTGAAGCAAAAGCAGCCACCCGCCGCTCGTCACCGCAAATTACTGCATCGACAACACCAACGGCGCATCCTCATCATCCCGACAGCTTCAAGCAGACTCCTCGGCGCGGCAACTTTTGCTCATAAAACTACGCTGCCGCCCTACTGCCGTCCGCGGGCGCCGCCACCACCACCGCCGCCGCCCTCCTCTCCATTACCTACCCATCCTCCCGATCCCGCGCTGCCACTGCGCCCGCTAGTCCGACAACTCCAGCCTCGCGACCGTCGCGCTCACAGCTTCCTCATCTCCCCGACCTTTATCGACCCTCGAACTCTTCGTCGCCCTCCTCGATCCTATATCTCGGTGCTGGTGGAGCCATGCCGCCTCCCAACCGGACACCTCCGCCGCACTTGGGGCAACAGCAGCAGCAGCATCAACCACCGCATCACCAGCATAGTCACAGCTCTGGGAGTTATGGACCACCACCACCGAGGCCGCCCGCTGGTGTAGCGCCGCCGCCGCCTCACGGCTCCTTTGGCTCGGGTAGGGATTTGCCCGCGTTCAACGCACTTACGCGATCCTCACCAGGTGCAGGCAGCTCCATGTCGATTTCGTCGATGCTGGGCGGTCCGCCCCCGGCCTCGCGCGAGTCGCAGCCTCCTCCGCCACACTACTCGCCGCACTCTGCTCCCCCGACCGCATCGGCCTCTCAATACGGCCCTTCTGTTCATGCCTCGCCTCGCATGCACTCAGCCTCTTCCGATTATAACCCCTTTCGACGTCCGCAGACGCCAGACCACCAGCGAAACTACGATCCACGCGGTAGCGCCGCACCATCGCCTCGAGGCCATTACGCGACCACACCCGATGTCCAAAGATACAGCACGCCGCAATCTTATCATGCCAGGCACCCATCAGCCCCTGCAGAAACTGGGCGCGACCCGGGCAGGGTCTCGACTGGTCCTACCAACACGCCTGGCAACCAGCCAAAGCCCTTTAGCAACCTTCCGAGACCGATCGATTTGGCCCGCGCGCCGCAAGACGACCGCTACGTACGCCTCGATGAACGACATGGCGCAGATTACCTAGACCGTGCCACGCAGCGACATTATCCTTTTGATGACCGATATCGCTTGGAGCGAGACAGACAGCCCGGCCCCGACCAACGAGAGCGGGAGGCCAGAGAGCATGCATATGCTGGTGGAGAACCGCGCCACGGCCCGCCAGAGCTCAACCCCCGAAATCAGTCATCCTATCCTAGGCATCCAGAGCCAACCGATCGACGCGAACCGCCCCGAGACCAACACTGGGCTCATCAAGGCCCCGAACACAATTATCGCGCCCCCATGGACCATCAGCGTGCCCATCCCGAATACCCTCCCGCATCTGGGCCTCACCAACCTCATGGCTCTGCTTACCAAACAGCGCCGCCGCCGCAGCATCAAGACCGCTACGCACCCACCTCGCATCCTCATCCCCATTCTCAAGCCTCCGCAGCTGCCTCTACACAGCCCTACGACTCACCCGAACGAGTTCCTCTCGACCGCCAGCCTCCTGCCGGTCGCGCTCGTGAGGACCAGCACCAGCAAATTCCTCCTGGGTATCACAACGCGGCGCATGGCCCCGCACCGTACGACGCCGCACGGCAGAGAAACGGAGATGACCAGAGCAGTCAAATCCATCAGCGCAACCTTTTGGGCGTACAGGACATGAACCGCAAGGGACGCATGTCACCCCTCCCGCAGGCTGTGCAAGGCGCCCAACCCCAGCAGCCAGGACCCGCTGGTGAGCCAGGCATCAAGAGCGAATTTGGACGCATGTTTGCTGGCATCGGTAGTGGAGTGGGCAACATGGGAGCCTCCAATCCTGTTACATCTGCGCCCAGTGGGCAGGCAGGTCCGGGGGCCTTGGGCAAGGACGAAGACCATGCTGCAGACGGTACCAAGAAACCAAGACGAAGGAAGCTGAAGGATGACATTGATAGACCCGACGATGAGAGCACCGGAAGACGGACTCCAGTTGGTCGCGGCGCTAAGCGCGTCAAAGGCCATCACCATCATCAGTACGTTTCTCGTGGCATCATGTTTGCAATCTTCACTAACGCCCACTCTAGTCATCACCATCACCATCACGCTCCCGATTCAGTTTCTTCACCATTGGTCGGGATAACGCCACTGAAAAACGGCAAATCCAACACACCTTTGGACAATGGAGGAGACAAGACCACGGCCGCAACACATCACCACCACCACCACCATCACCACCACACCGGTCGATCTGCGCAGAGTTCCACCCCTCAACCCAAGCCCGCCGAAATACAAGCTCCCGTTATGCTGCCAAAGACAAAGACAACCGTGTCGTCCAAGGCTGTGCTGGATTCAATAGCACACAAAACTCGACATCATCTGGGCGACTTTGTCTACGAAACGGAAATTAAGGCCGGAAGACTTGTACCCAGAGCGTCCACAAACCGGGGCTTTGCTTCCCAGCCCAAGCCGTTACCGCTCGACCGCATCAAGGGCAAAGAGAATAGCATCTTGACCATCAAGGTTCCCCGCGTGCATCTCACGCCTGTTGCAAGAGAGGAGATTACCGCCAGAGCATTTGTGTGGGGGACCGACGTCTATACCGATGACTCTGATGCCGTCGCGGCCTGCATTCATTCCGGGTGGATCATGGGAGAATGGACCGAAGACGTCGATACTTCCTTGTTTAGTTTGGACAAGGCTGACGGCGTCAAGGAGACTAAGAAGCCCAAAGTACCCGTCGAGCTAACGTCCGAAGGCGTCATCTCGGCGCCCCCCAAATCCGGCCCGATGCCGATTCCTGCAAACCGTGACTTGCACATTAATGTGCTCATCGTGCCGCGTCTGGTCAAGTACGCCGGGTGCACGAGATTCGGCCTCACCAGCCGCGAGTTTGGCGGCGAATATGGCAGCCGCCATGCCGTACATGACGGCGTCAGCTACATGATCCAGAGTGTCCGGTGGGTGGCGAATGGCGGGCAGCCGCAAGCGCGACTGCGCGGCCAGGCACGACGAGACCGCATGCGCAAGGCCATGATTGAGGTCAATGCCAGCCTTGGCAACATTAGCAGCCAGGAACGAGCGCTGGAAAGGGAACGCCTCGGCAAATTACGCAGTGAGATTTCGGGCAGCTGGTGGAAGCAGGCCGAAGCGGAGGAGGGCGGTGACGGCGAAAATACGAGCGCTGCCGTTGCTCAAGATCCGCCAACTGGGGCAGAAGCTGATAAGGAGAATCAAGCAACAGCTGTCAATGGCAAGGCGGCTGCTGGTGCCGTGGTTGTAGAGCTCACGACATCGTCTGGCGACAAGGATGTGGACATGGGCGAGGGCGAGGCGAGCAAGCCCAAGGACGCGGATGAAAAGGGCCAGGTGGCGGCATAGATGGTTGCTTATGGACCCATGTACTAACAATTGCGGGAAAGATCTGTTTGCTTTCTGAATCTTTTAAACGATGAATTCCTTGCTATGCGGAGCGGGCGATGGAAGGCAGCCCTCTTTATTTCAGGTTGGCAAACGGCACATCACGCAGCAAATGAGACAATCTGGCGTGGATTCTTTCTTCTATTGATACCAAAAGCGGACGTTATGTATGTATGGACGCATATAATACAAGAAGAAATGAAGACAGTCCCATCTCTTACGCAAATCAAAACTGCTGCAGTATAGTACATTGTACAGATGGCCTCGAAGTCGTCGCAGCCGCAACGTGAATGCTCGTGTATGTCATCCTTTCGACGTTTCGTGAGATTGGCCGCGAGGACAATCACACAAACCACTTCCCGCCCTGTATATTCTTTAAAAATCCGTCACCTTGCCGTTGTAGCTCCAGTCACCGCCACTTCCCCAGCGCAGCGGCTCATTCTTGGGCCCGCCGACCTCGCCGGTGCGCGGGTTCTTGTCCCCGTCAAACTCGGGCCGCGCACCACGGTACAGGCCGCCGCCCTCGTTAAGCTCCGACTCGGTGGCCTGTGTCGTGTTTTCGGGTGCGGCGGCGGCAGCCTCTGCAGGCTGAAAGGCAGAGGAGACGGCGGCGGCGCGCTGCAGACGCTCAAACTCGGCCTGCTCCTTGGCGGGCAGCTTGGGAGGACTGGGGCTTGCGCCAAAGTTGGAGGCGTGGCGGCGCGTAACGGCGGCGGCGGCGGCGGCGGCGCGCGTGGTGGTGGTGGTGATGCGTCGGAGTGGGAGTCGTGTGAGCATGGTGACTTTTGGTGGCGGATAGTTGATGTTGAAAGGGTGTGGAATTGGTGGCGACAAAGATCAGGAACTCGGCATTGGCGATGTTGAATTGATTTAGTGGGGCTGTCACGGTCGAAGAGTGCAAGTTTGACGAGGAACGCCTGTGAATAACCAGAAAGAAGCGTTTTTTTCTCGGCCTTGATTGAAGATTGTGGCGGAGCTATTTGCATCGGGGTGATGGACTGGAATTATTAATTGCGATAATGGAAGAAAAGGGTAGGCCAAGATTGCATATTAGCACTTTTACATCCGCACATGTATCTACGCTGCCAACAAACGAAGCACTACACATTCAGCAACAGAGATCTCTACAGCGGATACGCATTTTGATATGCATAATTTCCCGAAAAGAAACAGTACCGAAAAAAATTAGGCGAGAGTTCTGCGGCACAGTTTCGGGCAGCAAATGGTGGCCCCGGTCGCTCCTTGCCGAATGGACATGATATCCGTATCGAAACTTTGGCTGCGGCGAGCTAACAAAATACATACGCTGAAAAGGGCGACAAGAACGAGAAAGATGGAAAGTCTAAGTCTCGCCTTTGGTTCAAGATCAATATTCCCTCCAACATCGCCGTTCTGACGCAAGGATCAGCCCCCCCCCGTGCTCCATAACCCTATCGAGGCTACGGAGTAACCACCTTCGAATGTTTACTTGGCGAGAGAATCCCCCAAACGCAAGATGCACGGGCCGCCTCGAATAAGACACTAGCAGCCGTTGTCAAAATTCTTCGAGCATCACAATCTGTGGATTTTCGACGGTTGGTTGCTGCAAAGATCTCCTCGAGATGACGGCGGCGAAGCGTCGTGCGTGCCAAGTGCTTCTGGTGGACGGCAGATCACTCTAAGGACATCTCTGGGCAGTTTTCGAGGCGCGGTCCTGAAGACATTTAGCCATTACAACGTGGTGGTGATTCTGGTAGTTTTTTTTTTTATCCATTGTCTGCTGATTATGCAATTTTCTAGGAATACAACAAACACATTTGGCCATGCACCGAGCAAGCACACCAATAAGAAGTGAGCGATTTCTAGAGGTTATTAGCAGTTTCACCTGCATGAATCGTCTTGCTAGCCCTGCGACGAGGCCTGCGACTTGTTACAGTATCAATGATGATGATGGATTGTGCCAGACCGCATCCGTTATTGCTCGACGATTGGTACTTTTGTTCATCGGCCTGGGCCACGCGGCCTGAGCCAGTTGTTGAGTCTTTTGGGTGAGGTACTCATGATGCGACTGTTTCTAATTCATGGAGAAAAGGCGTTTCTCGCTTACCGTGACAGGTTGACAACGCGTGCTGAGCTCGCGTGGAGGAGTAACCTTGTTGGCGGCGGGCCAGGCGGCCGCCAGAAACTGGAGAGCCTCACTGGCTTTCAGACAAGTTTCGAAACTCTGTTTGGTCGTCAGGACAGCAGACTGTTGTCGCCAGTAACTACACTTTTTCTTCATCATCCCTTCCTCAAAGAACGCGAGCAGCGAGCTTGCATGCTATTTGCTCACAACTGCCTCCATGCAGGCGCTTCTCTTAGTGTAGAGAGTTGCGCAGTCCTGTTCGTTCGCGACGATGATCTTGTCTGAGACCAATGTGGAGGTATAACTATTTACGGAGTACAAGAGGCTCATTTACATCAACAAAGGCGTGGATCCGCATTTTTGCAGCGACAAGCAACTCTATTTACTAGTACCGCTTGTATCGAACAACAAACACCGGATCAGAGTAATGCGGGTAAATGACAAGTGCAAAGTATGGGCGGCAATGCGCGGCCTCTCTTCTCATGCGCCCATCCCGTCTCTGCTTAAACCGAGCTCAACCCGATACCGAAACGTCAACTAAATTAGGCCAGACAGACAGCCTTTCCCCTTCCTACCCGTCACACAATGGCCCAAAGCGAAATCGCTGCTTTGCGGAATCGAACAAAGAGATCCGCAACTAATCATGAATACAACAAACGCCACCGGGTCACCGAGATGAAATGGTTGCGCCCCCAATGGTCGAATCAGAATCGCGCCTCGAGGCACACCTTTGACGCCATCCCACGTAAAACGGCTGGACCCCTACCAAAGACCACATTTCTGGGACAAACTATCGGCCACGGTCCGCGGAGTCCTCAAAGGCCGTTTCCTCTCTTTGTGCCAAAAAAGTGCATATTGATTCTGGTTCCTGACCCGCCTCATCCGTGACCTTCAATGAGTCGCGTCAGTTTTCCGTCCCATAGGCTTGGCAACAAGTCTCATATCTCCACTGGCGATTCTCTCGCCTCGTGTGTCAACACCAACGCCTTACCGGCTAGCCTTTCCTGGAGTTGTTGCAGAGTGGTCACAGCTTTTGCCAGTTCTTAACCCTGCCACCACCCAGTTCGAGTCCATCTCTGCGGATGCAACTTGATCTCTTAGCTACCGAATGACGACACATGCTAAATAGCTGATACACGATGTATCACTTTTCTCTAACGAGGTAGCGCATGGTGCTAGAGAGATGTATTCGTCATTGCCTTGCTCATATTGGCTGTGATACTGTCTACCCTTAGGGTGGTTGCAACCGCCGGCCAACAACTGTGACAATGGCTATAATGTCCAGATACAACTACATCTTTATTTTGACGACCATGTTCGCTTTTCTCGACGCATGGAACATTGGCGCCAACGATGTGGCCAATTCCTTTGCCAGCTCCGTGTCCTCGAGGTCGCTGACGCTGAAGCAGGCCATGGTCATTGCATCCTTTTGCGAGTTTGCCGGCAGTGTCTCGGTGGGCGACCGAGTCACCGATACTCTGCGCACAAAGATTGTCGACCCGCATCTATTCGACCACGCGCCGCAGGTGCTCCTGTTGGCCATGATGTGCACCATCATGGCCTCGTCTGTATTTCTCACCGTGGCGACGAGATATGGCATGCCAGTTTCCACCACCCACAGCGTCATTGGCGGCTTAATTGGCACGGCTACCGCATCTGTCGGCATCGACAAGGTAAACTGGGGATGGCGAGGCGCGTCGCAAGTCTTTCTTGCTTGGATTATTGCACCTGGGATTGCTGGAACTCTTGGCGCCACCGTCTTTCTTGTTACCAAACAGCTCGTCTTGATTAAGCGAAACTCGGTTCGCCGAGCGTTTTGGTGTATACCATTCTTCAGCTTCCTGACCTTTGGAGCTGTAACGAGTATGTACGATGGCTATCTTGAAATGGCATGTCCGATGCAGTGCTAACTGATGCAGTGTTACTTGTCTGGAAAGGCATTCGTCACATCAACATCACAACTACGACGATGCTTGTCGTCATCTTTTCCGCTGCTGGAGGTGGTGCGCTGCTGCACGCAGCCTTTGTGATGCCATATCTTTGGGTGCGCATCATTCGACAGGACTGGACACTAAAATGGTACCATGGTATCGTAGGCCCGTTTCTGCTCAGGCGAGATGCACCGCCGCCAACACCACACGGTTTCAAAAAGTCCGTCATCAAAGATTACTATCGTGGGCATTTAAGCCCAGAGGAGCTCGCCCACGTGCGCGCATCAGAGACACTGCTGCAGTCAGTACAGATGCATGGAGCCAACGGGCCACCAGAGCTCGACAAGGACGACGACTTGATTCTGCCACCAGCAGCTCAGGATTCTTCGATACCACCACGGCCAACATGTACTGCGAGCGATAGCCTCGTCCCCCCTCGGCCAGAGGGCAGCTGGAAGAGCTTTGCAGTGATTACCTGGCGCATCAACCGCATTCTTCTGCGGGGTATCGAGAAAGACGTTATTAGTATGCAAAAGCGAAATGCAGTCTTGAACTGGGACCTGACAGACATGCATTCGCGCGCGCCGCGCTTCGACAACCGCGCCGAGTACATGTTCTCGTCGTTGCAGATCCTCACAGCAGCAGCCGCATCATTCACGCACGGCGCCAACGACGTGTCCAACGCCATTGCACCATTTTCTACTGCGCTCGATGTGTGGTCACACGGAGTTGTCAACGATCAGGTCGAGGTGCCGATTTGGGTGCTGTGCTTTGGGGGCGGCGCCATCGTGCTCGGCCTGCTGACCTATGGCTACCATGTCATGCGCACGCTTGGCAACCGCCTCACGCTGATATCGCCCACGCGTGGCTTCTGCATGGAGCTGGCGACGGCCCTCACCGTCATAATCGCGACCAGGCTGCGACTGCCAGTGTCGACGACGCAGTGCATCACGGGCGCCACGGTCGGCGTTGGGCTGGCGAATGGAGACTGGCGCTGCATCAACCCGAAGCTGGTTGGGTGGATTTATATGGGATGGGTAATCACGGTACCCGTCACGGCCCTGATATCGGGCTGTTTGATGGGGTTGGTATTAAATGCTCCAAGATGGAGCTCATGAAAGAAAGACGCAGTATAAGCTACCTTTTTGTGTACCAGGCACGAAGGCTGGCAGATGGCGGCGTATCTCTGTTAATCATGGTAATATTCATGTGCGACGTCAAGCAGAGCTCAAATACATCTGCGGCCTAATACGAGAAATATTGATACCCATCTGTCGCATTGCGGATAGCTGCAACAAGCAACATTGTTTTTTTTTTTTTTTTAGGGAAGCAAGTCCGCTGCCAAGAGTTTATTCAGCAGCAGACCAAGTCAATTTATCGAATTAATTCATTCAGCCACAGCGGAATAGTTCCACCATGGCGCTTGATGATTGATTACCTTCTTGATATCTCTTGAGAGGGGGACCATGGCCCACGTGCGGTCGCATCTGAGTCCCTGTTGGATCAGCAGCCCAAATCTTGGCTTTTAAGCATACCGAGCACCTAAAAGAGCCACTGGTGGCGTCGCACGGTGCCTGGTGGATAGCGCTAATAAGAGTTGCAGATGCAGGTTCTCGAATGTCTTGCGTGCGTCGCTCGCCGTGTCTGAAAGCTAGCTGTCTCCAAGACTAACACCGAAAGGCGAAAGCATCTCGCTATCCAAAGCAGGTCGATTTTGTTTTTTTTTTTTGCTTGACCGAATGAGTCTATATCCTAGGGCAAAAGAGGCGAAAGAGACGGGAAAACATGTGCAATATTGTTAGTGTAAAGAAATCTGGAGCAGCATCTGCGGTGCAACCTGGAGAGACCAAGGCAGTGGAGACGAGCTCTTTACATTATTAGCGAGTTATAACTTATAAGAGGCAGAGAAGTGTACCCCCAATGCCAAGGAATTATTCCCCGGTGCGCTCTTTCATGCTTCTTCTTTGCATGCGTTGATGCTTGCGTTCTTCCAACATTAATCTTCTCATTCACGTTTTGCAAAATTCCATAATGCGGTCCCTCTTGCCCTTGATTTCCCTTGTGGTTGGTGCCGCTGCGAATGGCGGGGATGAGCCTACAGTCAAGCCCTTTGATCCCAGCTCTCTAAGCTTGCGGGAAGTTGGTGCGCGCAACACTTTGGTAATTTTTTCCTCCCTACAAGAGATGGGCCTCATGGCATTACCCCCTTGCTTTAATGGAAAGATAGACTCATCGTTTTGAATAGGATTGGCGCGTCTGGCTGGAGCAGGACGGCAACCCAATTTCTTTCTGGCACGATATTCCCCTCTTTCCTCTAGGAAATGTCTCCAACATTATCAACATGTATGTCGAAATTCCGCGATGGACAGATGCCAAAATCGAAACAAAGCGAAATGAACCCTTGAGTGAGTCTCTCCCCCCC